AAAGAAAGAAAGAAAGAAAGAAAGAAAGAAAGAAAGAAAGAAAGAAATTAAGAGAGTAAAGACAAATTCATCTTAATGCACACACTGACAGGCAAGTCAGTCTTCACGAATGACAGAAAATGAAAATGCTGACGGAGAGTCGCCCTAACAGAATTAGGATGGGCAGTTCAAGCTCACACACTGGCAATTTTAAAACAGAAACCCAAACTAACAACTTTCTTTGAAAATGTTTGCCATGGTGGGGGGCGGCATTCTGAGCCCCAGTCTTACACATCAGTTCCTGCCAACTGGCTTTCCCACAGTCTGTCTGCAAACAGCCCCCGCCTGTCTGTGAAGCCTCTGTGGTCAGATGCTATCTTCCATCACCACACGAGATGTAAGTGTAATATCTGGATCCTCCATCCCCTAGTTGCACAACTCCGTGTAAAGGAACTGTGTGTCTCCGTCTCTCATTTTATCTCCCACAAAATGTCACAAATAATTACACCTCACTTGGAGGTTTGATTACATGAGCTTATTAAATTAATTTTTACTCATTTTTATATGCTATAATCATTTCGCCCAGAGGCTAGCTGTAGTACCTATTTAAGTCGGTATTGTTCTTATTGAGAACTGACAGTTTCCAGAACTGAGCCAATGAATTGCTTTTGCACGGCTCATTGCGGAGCACACACAGAGCAAATGGCGACAAAATAGAGCAAATTAATCTTCCAAATTAGTCACGTGGCCTTGACATGAAACACTAAGATGCTGGTAGGCAGGAAGAGAGTCCTCACATAGTCATCTACTCCCCAAATGCCACCCTTTTACTCTGATGGTCTCCGGGAAACACAAAGTGCCCTCCCCCTTTTACCCTTCAGGGCTGGAGATGGCACTGCGGGCCTCACTCAGCAAGACAAGGACTCTGAGCCACCTCTTAAACCTCTCTGGACTTCTTAAAGAGTCCTTACTAATGTCTCTGAAGCGGCTGAAACTAAACACCCCCTCTCCAAATCTCATGATAAGAGTGCTACCTCTATCTAGAAGATCTACTTGTTTTACAAGAATATTCTTTGAAAAGAATAAAAAAAAACATAAAATTCTTATTTCGCTATTATCTAAGGATGCATCAGAATCAAGCGGTGCCCTTCACGGTCTGCCAGCCTCAACAGAGGTAGCTGGGCTCCCATGTCGCGAAGTTAGAATGTCTAGTCCCAGTCTCGTAAACTACAACATAGGCAAATACATTATGGACCTGAGTGGTAGTCAAGTATTTTATTTGCCTAAAGAACATGAATATTTGTGTTTTACAGAAAGATAACATAGCCTAAATATTTCCCATCAAAGAGACCGAGGAGGGTACGAAAACAGGCGCTTGAGACAAAAAGAAGATGAAATTCAAAAGGAGCATTACCAGCAGTAGCCAGACAGGAGCTCATCAGGGCAAACATGGTGGTGGTGATCACGTGGCGGGGAGTCGCGGCCATTTCTCCAACAGGGAGTCCCCTCCAGACACGGCAGCCTTTGGTCTTTCAGGTCGAAGGCGAGCTTGGCAAGTCAGAAGTGGCCTTGAAATCCCTCTCTGCAACTGTCAAATTGTCTATAAAAATAAACAAATTTCAGTAAGAAAACACAGTGTTGAAATTTCACCAATGAACACACATTAAATGTTAAAAGTTAAATGGAGAATTTCTGAAAAGAAACAATTTGTCAAGAAACATATCAGGACAGCACTCAGGCAAATTAGGGCGGGACAGTGATTGTTTAACAAAGACGTCATAGAAAATAGTTTTGAAAGTGATATGTTTATACTTGACATTCTAAATATCTGGGGAGTTGAAGGTTGTCTGAGACAGGGTCTATGTTTCCCAGACTAGCCCAGCACTCTGGGTTTCAAAAGTCCTTCCTGTTTCGGCCTCCCTGAATAGCTAGTACCACAGGCATGTACCAACACACTCAGGCAGATCTGTGGTCCTGTGTAGAGTTTTCAGGACCATTACAGACACTCCAGGTCCCCTGTCCTATCAGCAGGCAATGACATGGGACACTCAGCTCAGAGTGCCAACAGGAACACTGGACATGTAGCTCAGAGTGCCAGCAAGCAGAAATAGTTCCTAGAAACCGAGCCGCATGCCAAAGTGACAGAGTTATCACCAAGATTGAATTCAATTACACTGAAAAGTGATCTGGAAAACACACACACAGAACCATAAAAGAACAAAGCTCTTTCACCTTTTCGCCAACCTTAAAAAGCAATAAAGTCTTCACTGCCCCTCTGTCCTGTAGAAGACGAACTCAGTCCTGGGCCAGGTGGTCTGAAGGCTCTTTCTAAACCACTCCTGTCTAGAGCCCTGTCAGGGTTTTATTATTGTTGTTTTTGTGGTGTGTGTGTGTGTGTGTTCGCTTGAGACAAGGTCTCACTGTGTCAGCTAGGCAGTTCCAGAGCTCACTATGAAGAACAGGCTGGGCCAAAAACTCACAGAGATTCACCTGCCTCTGCCTCCTGAGTTCTGGGATTAAAGGCATGAGCCACCATGCCCAGTTGAGTTTTGTGATTTTTTTATATGTATGTTTTGGGGGATCTGTTGTTTTGTTTGAGATAGGGTCTTGCTTTGAAATGTGTGTGTGTGTGTGTGTGTGAGAGAGAGAGAGAGAGACAGACAGACAGAGACAGAGAAGAGAAAAAGAGAGAGACAGCGAGCAAGCACAGGCTTGGAAAAGTGGCTTCCAGATTGTATACAATCAATCAATGTTAGCTGCTTTGATCACTGCTCCATTCTCTTTAAGGTCTTCTCACTGATAAACTGGAAAGATTGGGGTGTGGTTATTTATGTAATTCTTAGCTACTACCCAGCAAGTTTTGCCTATTGCAAAGGGGAGAACCTACAGTAAAGAGCAGGGCCACGGAGAGAGAAGAGTGGCCGGTGGAGCTGAGATGAAGGCCCAGTGAGCAGTCAGAGGCGGCACGGTGCTAACGAAGTTAGAAAACTGATTTGGAAGTCACGCAATTAACTTCAATGACCCCTTGAAGCCTCAGATTTCCACCACCATCTTTCCATGGTGTATCAGAGAAATGGAAATATCTGTTAACTTAAGAACTGAACAACTAGGAAAGTTTGCCCCAGTTTTTCCTCTTTGAAAAACTAGATTTCCTAAATGGGTTAATTAATAAAGAAAAATCTCTCTCAAAGGACAAAAAAATTCAACAAATACTAGCAGAAATTTTAATAAAGCAAAACCCATAAGGAGCGCTTAGAAGATGGCTTACGGGAGGGTTTCTATAGGCAAATGGCCACAGGCTACACAGGGCTCACATCACCCCTGCCCCCAACTGCATGGGGCCCGTGGGGCTGAGCTGCATTAATCTAGGAGCTTACACCAGTTCTGAAGGAACCCATGGAAAGAAAGGCAAGCGGTTCTATTAAAAATATGGACTGCAAATTGCTGACAAGAATATTGGGCAATTATATAATTATTATACAACTGAGCCAAGCTAAATAGATTGATGCCCAAAGGCAAACCACAGCAAGTTCACGCCGGATCTCAAGACAGCACTGAGGAAGTCCAAGACAAGTTGGGACTCCACACAGCTGTGGCAAACAAAGAGGAGGCCTTCTTTGAGCTACAGTCCCCCTTTAACAGAACTCATTCAAGAAGAAAGCAAACTGCAGAGCGTTGGTTTAATCTCCCCAGGGTGGTGACAGAGGTCTAGGAGACGGGAGACTAAAAAGGGAACCACATGGGCCCTACCTGGCTGATCTCCAGCCAACACTCAGAGATTCGATCCCTCGGCAGAATTTGGGGGAAGCCAGGCCTCCGAAAGTTGAAGCTTTTAAATAAAATCATAAAACACAAGCTCCTCTTTTCGGTGAGGGTCTGTCATACTCATTTGGAAAAGACCAGGGGCTGTTGACCCTCCTTGGGCTCATGAGCTATAAGAATATACACGAAAAGGCCCACTGAGGTCCTGGAACAATTTGCAGGCTACTGTAGAGTGTGGTCTCTCCGCTCACCATTACAGCTTCAAAGCAGAGGGACTGAGAGCAGCAAGCACCACAAATTAACAGAACGTGGAGAGCGAGAGTCACAGATTAAAAACAAAGAAGAATGTGCTGCGAAGTCTGTTGATTTCAGATCCTGCTATGTTTACTTCTGAGGCCATTAATCTGAGCTGGCTGCTGCACATTCCTGGAACCCAGCAAAGCACATAGGTAAATAGAGGGATTAGCTGGGGAAAGCCTACTCAACCGAATCCTTGACAACACCATGGTCTGAAACCCAGATTTAAAAGGAGTGACTTAGAAAAACCTGCTCTAGGCTAAAGATTGTGTGTGTGCTTGTGTGTGTGTGTGTGTGTGTGTGTGTGTATCTGTGTCTTATGTGTGTGAGTTTGTCTGTGTATGATGTGAGTGTGTGCGTGTGTGTGCGCGTGCGTGTACACACACACACAGGTTCACATATAGACAGCAGTCACGCATGCATGCAGCAGACACCTTTCCTCCACTAGGGTCTCAGGGACTGAACTCCGGTTGTCAGCAGCACTTTTGTTGGCTGAGTCATGTCACTGACCCAGATTTGAAGATCATAAGGAGATTGATTTAGCAAACAGAATTAAAAACTGTCATGAATAGGAATGGGAGGTTACTCAGTTGGGAGAATGCTTGCCCACTACACAGACAGTACACACTCCACCGAATGCTCGCCTGCTACACAGACACTACACACTCCGTTCACAATAACACATTAAGCAGGTCGGGTGGTGCACGCCTGAAATCGCACACTCCAGAGGCAGAAGGACCAAGAAGGTCAAGGTCTTCTGTTGCCGGGGAAACGGCATTGCCTGAGCTCAAGCAGTGAGTTATTCGAGTTTCTAACAGCTTAGAAATGAAGAGATCTGGCAAAACGACTCAGCAGACCAAAGTGCTTGCTGGACAAACCCAGCGGCCTGAGTTCAATCCCTGGAACCTACAGTGAAAGAAGAGAACCGAAAACTGCCTTCTAATCTTCCATTTGAGTGTCACAGCACACGCATGACCATGGTCGTGTGCATACATGTGCACGTGTATGCACATGGATGTTCACACACACATACACAAAATTTTAAAATGTTTCTATTTTGTCAATTAGGTGGGTTTTTTGATAAATACATAGTTGTGTTTGAAAATGGTTTAATAAAACAGGCAGAACTGTTTTGTCCACTGTTCAATACACTGTTCAGTGACAGCAGTGTGGATTGCAACATCAACGTGTCGTGTGGCAGCCGGGGAAGGGGCAAAGCAATTGCTGTCTGGTAACACCTGGATGCCCTTTAGACCTGTACACAATGAGCGCAGCCTCACAGTGGCTAAACTCCCCTCCACACAGAGAGACGCTGCATCACTCAGGTACCCAGAGAGGGAGGGTGGGGGATCTGGATGAGAAATCTCTGGAATTGTATCTAAGCGTGGTTGATACTCAGCAAATATTTACAGCCACTGTGTGCCAGGCAAACTGGTCTGATGCCAAGGGTGTGACAGAGTGAAAAGGACCCAAGCCTCTGCTTGGTGGAGTTTTGTTTGGGCCAAATAAAAGCAACGTCATTTGCTTCTGGGGATAAGACATTTAATTTCTCAGCATCATTTCTTCTGTCCGCAGACCTTTAGGGACTATTTGCCCTGCACCAGATAATAGAAGAATAGTGGGCAATCGAGAGGTATGCTTTTTACACTTACGGATTTACAGTATGGCAAACAGGCATACAGTCACAAACATGGAATTACACAGTATGGGAAGAATTATAAAGGAAGGCCTCTTAGGAGACACATATCTTAAAATATTGGGCACAGAAAGACACTGAGTGAGTACCCTTATTTCACTTTTGTTATTATGATAAAATACTTTGATTTTAGCACACGGATCCAAGTTGCAGGCCCTGAGAGTCAAAGGGTCACGTGCTTGGAGACAGCCAGTCACATCACATCCACTAAGAACTGAGCAGATGAAATGAATGTTTGCTGCATGGCTTGCTTTGTTGTGCTTACACTCCTCAGAGGCATGAAACAGTGCTGCCCAAATTCAGGGTGACTCTTCCCACCTCAGTTTACCAATTATGAGAACCCCCTCTGTTCCAGGATGAGCAGGAACTGTGAGGGGTGGGAGTTCAGGTAACTAAGGACCAAGAGCCAGAGGCCCACAAGGTCATGGGCTGAGTCACGTGGAGGGAGAAAGATGGCGCCTCATCAGTTCATGTTAATTGCCAACAACTGAAAAACTGTTAGCACCAAGTCACTGCCCCATTCTCCATCAAGGGTCTAATCAGGCATACCTGGGTTTTTAAGGATGTAATAGGGTCCAGTCCCAAGAAAACCAAGAGTGCTATGGCCAGGCACATTGGTGTTCTTAGCCCAGAGAGAGAGAGTGTGGGCCAAGGTGGGGGTGGGGGTCCCCATAGAAATCCCGTTGACTTAGAACATCTGGAAAAGCCAAGGATGACCTTGAACTCCTAACAGTCCTCGTGCTTCCACTTCTCCAGTGCTGGGAGGACAGGAACTGGGAGGACGCCCTGTGTGAGTGCAGGGGAAGGCCAACGGCTCCCTTCTGAGTTCGCCTTCCATCCTCAGC